AAGCATTTATTTTATTTGATGTTATTTTCTACGTAATAAATGGTTATTAATGCAATTTTTCTCTGCATTGTTTACAGCTTGGGGACTTGTAGGATGTCATGAAAAGTACACAAAAAATAAAGTTTGTTGAGAGAGTCCTATAAATTATTTTATTTAAAGAAAGAGATTATATTTATTCCCTAAACTCAATACTAAACAGTTTGATAAATCCTTAATGATTAAAAAAACAATAAATGATTAAAAAATATTGTGTTCAATCATAGCGTAATATTTATAGTAGAAAAATAGTGTAAGTTACAATTTATAAGCAGTTAAATTCAGGTTAGGCGATCTTTCAAACAGCAGGTGGCACTGTCTGAAAAAACGATAGGTACGGAGGTGCAGGTCTGAACCTGGTCTGAACGTGGAGTGGGGTCTCGGGGCCTGCAGCTTCATAATATTGGTTTATAGTCTAATGTTAGCTTTTCAGTTCTTGCGTTTGCATTGAAGATCCAAAAGTGCTCAAAGTTGTATTTTCGTGTGAGGATTATCCGGCTGGACAAAACATGTAAGTGTAATGAACAGTGTTTGAACACAGAGCTTATAATTTGCAATCTTCTAAAAGCCTATGGAAAAATCCTACAGGGATATTATCAAGGGAACCAGTTGTATGCTAGCAGCCGATTTACCTACAAGGTGATTTCATAGTTCCTCCACTTTATTGTTTTACAAGGAGGAATGGGCAAAGATTTCAGTCTAACAAAGCTAGTAGAAACCTATAGACGTACTCCAAAAGACTTGCAGCTGTAATTGCACCCAATGGATACTCCACAAAGAATTGACTCAGGGGAGCTGAATACTTTTGCACACTGCACTATTCAGTTTTAACAAAAAAAAAAAAAAATTATATAATATTTTATACACATTTTAGATATGCCCATAAAAAACGTTTCATAGAAACGGCAACATATGCATACGTTTTTTTTAAAAATTGCATAAAAATGTATGGCCAAAACTGAGTAGAATAAACTTTTTTTTCGATAAGAAAAGATAAACTACGATGGAAACACTTTTACCTAATAAATTCCAGTATGTGCCTTACAAACTCATGTGATTTTGTTATAAGAGGTCAAATGATGATACAGATGTGTGTGAATGGATAAACCAGCAGGCTGAGCATATTGTAAAACATCTGCAATGTTGATTTGCTGATTCTAAAACCATTTCAGTATTAGTGTTATTATATTATTTAGGCCCACACGGAATCTGCGCACGCAGAATTTTGCAGATTTTTAGCCCATCACTGATTCTGTTTATTTACATGTGCAAATGTGTGTAAATGTATATTTATTCAGATTTTTTATTAATTTTAGTATAATTAATAGCTAATATGAAAATGTTCATATGATTTATTTACAATACAGTTTGTAAAGTAATATTTTCTGTCTTTTAGTAGTATGAGAGACTTGCTTTGTTTACCAAATAAAATGTATCTAATTGGATCTGCATTGTAGACATTAAAAAAAGTTAAAAAGCTAATATTTTTATTTAATATATTAGGTTTTTAGTTATGATACTCCCAAAATCATTCCGCATAAATCCGCAGATTTTTAACAAAATTCTCTTAATTTTAAAAGTTTACACACATTTTCTTGGTATATTTTTTAGCTTTGCTTTTAAACTGTAGTCCCTTTGTCCTCCAAATGTAACACTGGTCATTATGGCCAAACAATCTTAGTTCCATCAGACCTCAGGACATGTCTCCATTTTTTCCAGTGTAATTTAACAATAAAATTTTTAACAAAATTCTCTGCAAAAATAGCAAAAAATGTCAGCAGATTCTGTCTGGCCTTATTAATGACCTCCAGAGCTGTCAAGGGTGTCTGTGCTCCGCGTCTCACGCCTTCAGACACCACCACATGTTCATTGCATGTCAGCATCATCTTCTGAGGGTCAAGTAATTTATTAAATAAAGAAAAGATTCACGCAGCTTTTACCACAGCTAATCCTATTTTTACTGTTGATATTTGATCAGGAAGTGATGATTTTGTTCTCTTTGACTCATCGGATGGAAACGCTGCTTATTCGCGCGCCTTTTTTGCTGTATTGCTGTTTTGCGCATAAATTTAATACACATCTTTGGATGGAAGCATAGCTAGTGATTCAGCATGTGCATTTAATAATGTTAAAGAAGTTTAGTATGTATTAATTAGATTATAAACCTTACCATTGCAGTGCAGTTAGTGCACTATTCAGTGCTTCTGAATGGCTGTATTTAAATTTTGTTTAGGGCAAACAGCCAAATTACTTATCACTGCAATCTTGTCATGTAGCGTGTTGTTAGTACACGGGGTTACAATGTAATCTGCTCATGTTCATAATATTTATATTATTTGATAATTAATAACCACCTCATGTGGAACTCTGAATCTGTGTCTCACTTCAGAGTCTGCTAATGTCCACCAGAGGTCGCATTTCAGTCACGAATGCATGCTTTGAGAGCCTTCCTGACTGAATGAATTAAATAAGCGGTTTTACACCAAGACAACCCAGGGTGCTTAAATATAATTGGCTAAACAGGCATTGGGCAGGTTAAAGGGACCAAAACAAAGACAGACATTCCACAACATAGCATGCATTTTCAAAGCAAATATCTGACTTCAGCATTGTTTTTCAGATGAACAAGAATGTTCACTTAGCGTCTTTCTTAAATATCTGCAAACATATTATGGTTATTGTATGCTTTAGAAGAGTCAATAACTTACATGTGGCATCCTTTAAGACTCAAAATCACCCAAGAGTAGATGAAAACATCAGTTTTTCATTCAGTCATTTATTTAACAGTTTGTAAAAACATGTCAAGCTAATTCTGACAATGATACTGTAATACAGTTGAAACCAGAAGATTACACACACTCTAAAAAGAGGAACATAACCATTTTTTTAATAAAATGTCTGATGGTAAATTGTTCTAAACGTTTACTATTTTAGGTCACTTAAGATTACCTAAAAGATTTACATTTTCTAAATGCCAGGATAATGGAGACGATGCTCGCTGCAGAGCCATTTGAGCAGAGCTGAGCTCCAGCGAGGGGGAGCATGAGCTCTCGCTCATCCTCCTATAAGCTGTTTTAATGCGTACACCAACCCCACCCCTAACCCTACCCCCAGTGACATCACTCGTAGAAGAAGTGCAAGAAAGGAGGAACGAGAGCTCAAGCTCCCCCTCGCTGGAGCTCAGCTCTGCCCAAATGGCTCTGCAGCGAGCACCACTTGGGATAAGAGAGAATTTTTTTGTGAAGTTTATTTATAAACAAATTTCAAGAGGATCACGTGCTTATGATTGTTCACAGCTGTTCCGACTTTAGCTAATAACTGATTATCCTATCAGATGATCCTTAATTCACTATAAATAACCAGACTTTTCTCATCTCAATATCTTCGTCTCGAAGAAACCCCCCACCCAACCCTACTTTCCCTGCTTTCAAACGGGCGTCACGGTGGCTAGCGATTAGCACTGTGGCCTCACAGCAAGAATGCCCCTGGTTTAATTCCTTCCCAAACCAGACGGCATTTCTGTGCGGAGTTTGCTAGTTCTCCCCGTGGTCGCGTGGGTTTTCCCCGGGTCCTCCGGTTTCCTCCCACGGTTCAAAAACAAGCACTCTAAACAATTAATCCAAAATATTTTAGCTAAACTCAGAGTACACCTGCAACATCCATATCTGACTCTTAGCTACAATAAGCAAGAGGGGGAGTCATCGAGATCTACCTGAGCTCAAACTCCCCTCTCGCCTTGCAACGGGAGGGAGCCCAGGGTTCGAGGATCTTTTAAGCTCAGGGCTCTCTCCCGGGACAGCACGCCAAACTAGCTTTATTATCAATCATCAGCTAAGTGTGAAGTCTTGAATTAATTTTAAAAGTTTACCTACATTTTCTTGGTATATTTTTTAGCTTTGCTTTTAAAGTGTAGTCCCTTTGTCCTCCAAATGTTACACTGGTCATTATGGCCAAACAATCTTAGTTCCATCAAACCACAGGACATGTCTTCTAAAATTAATCTTTTTCCCAGTGTAATTTAGCACATTGTAATCTGGCTTTTTGTTGATTCTGGCTTGTTGATTTTCCAATGTTGTCACACAATGAAGCAGTGTGTTTGAGGTTTTCCTTAAAGACTATTCTACAATTGTGCCTCCAACTAATTAAAATGTTATCAATTAGCCAATCAGAAACTTCCCAAACCTTCACACCATCATCTCAGCTTTGTCAGAAGCATAATAATCTTATTGTATGTAAACTTGACTTTCAAGAAAAGTTCTAACAATTTCTCAAAAAAATCTCTCTCATTATTCTGCTATTAAGCATAACAGAAACAAATTTAATAATCCTAACTTACCTCAAAGAGAAAAAGTTTATGCACATTAACATCTGACTTATTTAAAATGGTTATGTGCCTGTTTATACAGTGTATGTAAACTTCTGGCTTCAACTTGTGGGAATATAAATTTATGTTATTTATATTTAACTGAAAAGTTGTTTTTAGGGTGTAACAGACCTTAAAATGTCTTAGTTTCCTGAGCCCTGCCTGTCTCCAAAGTAGAGCAAATAGTTTCACAGCACGGCTGTGTCTATTGTTTTCTCTTTTCGGTCAACTGGTCAGAAGGTTTCTGTCTCCAGAACATCATTTGCACACTGTTTTCTGCCCTTGTATTCGAGTGAAACTTTCAGGTTGAAGAAACCCCTTTTATGGTGGTCTTTTATGGTGGTCACTCTGCAGACTTACATGCTGATGAGATCAGGCCTGAAAAGGCAGTTTACCCTGCCGACAACAACACTTCATTTGCATCTGTCCCCACCTACATGAATCACTGTCTGTAAAATGTATAAAAACTTAGTGCTTACTGTACAGTAGAGAATTTCCTTTCAATTTTGCTTTAAAGATATCGTAAGTTCTCCCTGCTTTTTTATACTTGTTTGAGAAGTTCATAACAAACTTTATTACATTACATGTCTTCACCCCTGTATATAGAATAAATGGAGTCGTAGAAACAGAAAGAGCAGGTTTACCGTTGAGGAGGTGAAGCAAGTGAATAGCTACCTCTCACAAGCAAATACTGTACATGTCCAAAGCAGGTAATCAAACTGTTTGTAATATTCTTCATTTTTTTAGGTCTTAAACGTACTATTTGTTTGTTACAGCACCGGTGGAATTACTTACATTGCATGCAATGTGGTGGTACCACAAACAAAGTCTCTCTACATCGGTCAGTTTTCACAAGATTTCTGAAGGTAGGTTTTTATGTTGTTTTGTGATGTGAACTTGTCCTGCTGCTATCTGTACGTTTATACCTGATTTGTGCATAACACTGTTTATCAGACTTGGCAGAGACTCCAGGAAGAAAGTGCAAGACTAGCTGAATTAAAGACTTACATTGCACAGATGAAGTGGTGTCACGGTGATGGGCAACTGGTGGTAAGCTTAAAAGTACATTTGATCAAAGAATACAAATTCAAACACTAAGATGATTCGTTGTGTTTTACGTCTACAGGGATGCCAGATTCATCTCATGGCAATCAAGACACCCCACACAGAAAACTTCAGCAGTCAACTGCGGGGCTTTCCCTTAGTGTGAGGCAGCAGAAGCAAACCCTTTGCTGGCAGAATGGTATAAAATATAATACAACATAATAAAATATAACTAGAATTAGGGGCAGCACGATGGCTCAGTCAGCACTGTCACCCCACAGCAAGAAGGTCGCTGGTTCGAGTCCTGGCTGGGCCTGTTTGGAATTTGCATGTTCTCCCTGTGTTCGTGTGGGTTTCCTCCGGGTGCACCAATTTCCTCCACAGTCCAGACACATGCAGTATACAGTAAGTAAATTGAATAAACTAAATTGGCTGTAGTGAATGAGTGTGTTTGTGAATGAGAGTGTATAGCTGCTTTTCCACTATCGTGCCAAACCGTTCTAAGGACACTTCGGTACGGTTACGGTTGTTTCTCCACTGAGCCTGGAACGGCGCAGCACGATTACAAACCGTTCTCGGCGCGGAATTCTCGGCAAGGTTAGACAACCGTGCTGAACTGTGCTGACAGATTTTGTGTGTTGGCGACTCGGTTGCTAAGCTACCACAGCTGGCTCAGCAGAAGCGCTAGTCATCAGACATCCTCAATAAACGTTCGAGGTTACTAAAGTAACCCTTCGTTCCCCGAGGAGGGGAACGGAAGCACTATACTCCGTCGCCATAATGACTGTCCCTTAGCTGTTTGAAAGTCTCTTCAGCTTAAAAGGATGGCGTCTGCTGGCTTCAGGTGTGCTTATATGCTGAGATAATTGCAGATGTCGCACACCTGCGCAAGCTTACGCTGCCAATTAATTTCATTCATTGGCCCGTTCAATACTCTCCAGACAAGCGGCTTCTGATCCGAATCCTCCCAATGCGTGGATTTTACAAATCAAATCCACTTATAGTGCTGAAGTTCCCCCCGAAGGGGAACTACAGTACATTTAATATAAATGATCCAGGTCTAAACGATACAGTTTGAAAAGGGTTTTAAAACCATAGAGCAGTCTCTGGCAGAGAAGTGAATATCTCATCACATTCTTACGAAGATTTTTTATTTATTAAAGTTATCATTTTATTGACTTGAATACAGACCTACTTCGCCTGCCTGAATGTGAGTTTATTGCACGCAGCGCTGTATTTCACAGCACAAAACTCACTCTGATCCGGGAGAGACATGCCAGCGACTTGCGCTGCTGACTTTTTTTTCCTGCTGCGCATCGAATAAAGCGAATTAAGCGAATAAAGTCACGCTTAGCATCATCGATGTCCAAATTCCACAACAACATCACTATATCCATGGAACACGAACTTGCAGACTCTTTTACAACGAGGAAATAATTGCACTTTTTAATTCAAAGCCAGGACAGCTTGTTAATACCGGCGAGACCACCTGAAGGACGGCGTGTTGTAATGTCGGCCATCCAAAAGACTTTGCTTGAAAGGTTTTCGGAGCGGCACTGTAACTGTCCAAGGTACTGTTGTATGATTTATATTATAGCATATGCACTAATAAACAAGTCAAAACAATGAATGAATTAAATAAATATGGATTCTTAAATGTCAGTATTGCTTTTACTCAAAAAATCAATACGTTTTGACAAATGTTTTATAAAAATAAAATGAGCAATTTTCATCATTTCAGCTATAGGCAATTATATGATTCAGTTATACATAAGTTATATGACATTTATGAGGCATGTAACATGTTTCTGTGTTTTTGTTTTTTGTTCTTGGTGATCTTTAATATAGCTACGCAAATAGTTTCTAAAACGTCAAGCAATAATTCGCCTACAGCTTGTTAGTTAATTATGAACACAAAAATAATTATAATAATAAAAATAAAATGATCAAAATAAAAAGATAATAGAGCAGCATTTTGCTAAATATAATACTGCTTTACATCCTTTAAATCCTGCGATATATGTGTTGTTTCATATTCGTTTTTTTTTTCACTTGCTGCATTCGTTATTTAATGTTTGAATAGTAAAACAAATAACAGCGCCTAATTGGTTTCATTTTACCATCAAAATGTAGTATATTTTATATCATTATCAACTTTTGATATAAAAACGCAGTGTAATTTAATTAATTGTTAAAAATGAAATATTTATATGCTGTGTTTTTATTAGTGAAAGTGCCCGCTCACCTTTGACAAGGCCTGTCCAAAATTATATTTCTGCCACTATAATGCAAATGCACTATTATTGTTGTCTTATCATTGTTTATTTTTCTGTTATGTTCAGAGATTTTAAATATTATTTATTTCCCCTCCAATTATTTTCAATCATCACGTTACATTTTGGTAATTTTCCCTCCAAATAAAATTTAGCCAGAGCTGCGCAACATATCAATAAATAAAGGTGCACATGTACCTATATTTAGCACCCCTATTTGATAGAGCGGCATAACAGTGTTTAGTCACATGGTTGCTTTCGCTTTTATGAAAAAAATAAAAATAAATAGTTTCGGCTCTTATTTAACTTTAATTGAACAAAGGGAGCCGTTTACATTGCGTTACCAAGGCAACTACTGATGCGTTTTGTGTAATGTTTTAAAGAGCTTTGTTGCAGCACGACAGTGGAAAATGAAACCGTATCCGTGCTGTCTGGCCCGGTTTGGCACGGAATGGAACAGTTCTGTTTGAAGAATGATTCAGCACGATAGTGGAAAAGCGGCTTATGAGTGTTTTCCAGCATGATGCTGGGTTGTGGCTGGGAAGGAAAGCATTTTTACAGTGCATTAGTTCTCAGATGCAATCACATGTATGCTTTTACTTCAAACACATTCAGCTCAGTGACATTAAATCCAGCTAATCTTTGTTAAATCTACAAACATTGTCATGTTTTGTCCCTGAATGATCTCAGTTGAAACACACAGTAATCAGCAGTACTCATCCTTTAAAAAAGAGAAGAAATACTTATTTTTGACAAATTTGACTTTATTTGAAACTTCAGAACAAATTTGATAATTGTCATCAGTTGTGAGGCTTGTCGCCCCAGACTAATGTCAGTTTTTGTCCGTGTTCAGCTCAGCACCACCTTCAAGATGGGCAGTTTCCAGTGGCACCACGTGGAGGAACGGACTTCGCCACCTATATATACAGGGTTTGGATTATCACTCACCATAAACTACAACTACATACAAAATCACTAGTCAATAAATGATGTCCTCCAACCATCAATCATATAGCACATTAGCAAAACATTAGACTAAAGAAGGCTGTATATGAGGACAATATCAAAGCAAATACTAAAGGTCGTAACTTTATTCCTCTTCAGAACACAAATGAAGATATTTGACTGAAAATAATGAAGATCTTTTAGTTAAATCTGAGAGCTCCTTAATCCTTCATAGACAGCAAGATTCCTGACTATGAGAAAACTTTATGTGGACATAAAACAAAAATAACTTTATTCAACAATTTCTTCCCTCAGTGTCAGTATAGGGCACGCGTTCACGTGTTGCGCCTCTGACATATAACCTTGGATGCGCCTGTGTATTTTTTAAGAGAGGAAGTCAGAGAGGAAGTCGCGCAGGCATCCAGTGGGGTATATGTCACTGCACAGTGCTTGTGAACGCGTGCCCTATCATCACACTGAGGAGAAGAAACTGAATAAAGTTTGTTTTATGTGAAGGCATATGATCTGTTTTCAGGAGGTTTTTGTAGACTTTGAGTCTGGATGAGGGAGCTCTAAGATAAAGATAAAAATAGTAAAAATAGTTCTGAAGATGAACATGAGGATGAGTAATGAATAACATTAATTTACTTTTTTTTTAAGGTTTTATTTATTATTATTATTTTTTTGTTGTTTTTAGAATAATTTCTGATTGGTCAAAAACATGGCCAGTTATAGATTTATATTTCAATATGGACAGTTTTTTTATTGTTTTATTTATTATTGATTTTTTTTTATTAAAATAATTCCACTTTTTAATTTTATTATTATAATTCTTTTTTTTTTTTTTTTTTTTTTTTTTTTTCCAGTTTTGTGGCCAGATTGGCTGGTGAGTGATAATGTTCATTGGAAACCCTGTATATATATCAGTTGATCCCAGTAATCATTGGTCAGGAGTCTCTCTCCTCTGGCTCAAATTACATTTTTTAGAGAGTGACACCCAAAATATATGGACCTGGACTGGGAACGACTGAGATTTTTTTTTTTATTATTTATTATTTTATTATACATTTTATTTTAGCATGTGGAAGTGTAAGAGTTAAAGCAAAAGCTGATATTAAAGTGTAAGAAGGGCTGTGTACACTATATGAAGGTCTAAACTGTAAAGTGCTTTATCATATTTTATAATTTTTGTAATTTACATGAATTTTAATTAGAGCCAGTGTAAATGTTGAAATAAGAGCTATGACACTGCAGAACCAAACTATGTTCAGCTCTCTGGATAAAGTTATGTTTAGCTAAAGGACTATGGTGGTGTGGTTGGCTCAAAATCCTCAGCTTCTTCTATTTTGGTTGGAGCTGCTGGAGTTTTTAGCCGAATCCAGCACTGAACTGGGAGATTCTGGAAGTGGTCCTTTGTCAAATGCTAGATCTTTTTTACAATTCTCTGTAACATAATTAAAACAAAATTGTTAAAAAAAGGAAATTCAACAACACAAGACTGTCGTCTGACATTAGCTGGGTTTCCATCAGCCTGTGTTAATGCACCTTTTATTAAGTATCACATGAGGAACAAGTTTCAAATAAACATCCCTTAATTCACAAAACGTTTTTATGCTCACTTGAGGTCATTTTGGACTCGTGTGAAAAGAGTTCATGAAGGAAATGCATTTGTCAAATTAAGTTTGATGTAGCGAGCATTTCTCAATTATTCCTCCCTTGTTAAACCGTTGGCTACGAGGTTACCAATACTACAGTTCAGCCGCTCGACCAACTTGATGGAAATCATTTGCTCATAATTCACATTTATAATTATAGGATAAATATATTTAGTGAACTTTGAAAAGATGTGCTTCACATTAGGATGGAAACTCAGCTCATGACAGATTCATTTGACTGATGACAAAATCCTCAAAATTACCTTAAACCAGTCATGGGCACGAAGTGCATTCAGCTTATACCGAGACCAGGGCAGTGTCTGCAGACAACCGCTGATGAAATCGCTGCATTCTGTGTAGAAAAAGAAAGGAAGAGATACATGTAAATATTACCTTAAAGTTTATACATGCTTTTTTCATTGACATAAAAAATGTCCTACACAACCATCTTTAGCTGAAGTAAAGATCTCACCTTTTGACCTTCCGTGTTGGTGTAAATTTCTGTCATTCAACTTGAGGAGGTCATGGTTGTCTGGAAATTTTTTGAACATCAGGACATATTGAAGAATCCCGAGTGACCACACTGTCGCTGGCTCAGCATAGTAATAGCCAGCCGTTTTAGCCTCGGGAGGGCTGAACTGGAATGTGCCTGAAAGAAAGAGATTTTGTTTCCATTAGCACAACATCTAAATTTCCTTCAGAAAATGTAAACAACAGTGTAGATCAGGGGTGCCCAAGCCCAGTCCTGGAGGATCTGTGTCCTGCAGAGTTTAGCTCCGGCCCCAGTTAGACACAACTGAACGAGCTAATCAAGCTCTCACTAAGTATACGAGACATTTTCTGTCAGGTGAGTTGAAGCAGGTTGGAGCTAAACTCTGTAGTCTCACGTGAATGACCCTTGACCCATCACAACAGAGCTTTGAGGGAGCTTTGAGGGATTTACTTACCCAAATAAGTTGTGTAATAGTACTTCATTAGGTCACCGCACCCGAAGTCAATCAGTTTAACTTCATTGGTCTGCGGGTTCATCAGCAAGTTGTCAGGCTTAATATCGCGATGAAGCACTCCACGTTTGATGCATGTGTCAGCAGCAATTGTTGTGTGGAACATGATTTTCTGTAACACGTCTTCTTCGATGTTGCCTCTGTGGCTTCTTAAAAATTCCGTTACGCTCACAGAGGGTATGGGCCGCTCTAGGACCATAAAGTAGCGGTTATCCTCCACCTTCCAGTCCAGAAGCTGAACGAGTTCTTTGACCTTGGGGCCTTTAGTTGCAAGAAAGTGCAGAGCAATCTCTGCTGGAAGTGGATGGTTAAACCCCGGCTAGAAGAAAGACAGAAAGAAAGTTGTTCAGATCATTTGAAAAGTTATTTCCAGTTAAAACTGTTGATGTATTTCATTAAAAGCAGTGGGCAGATTATAGAGAACAAAACAAAGACAGACACATTTTTTCAAATGAGAATAACTGACATTTGTTTACTTGGCATGTTTCTAAAATATCTATTTAATATTAAATAATATATATTTTTGTGCTTTAGAAGAGTCAAAAACTTACATACAGCACCTTTAATATGACATGTTTAAAATAAACACAGTTAATCAGAGCAAAGAGCTCAGACTACTTACAACAAAGATGTATCGCTCAATCTTGAAATCTGCTATTTTTACAGCCACCGGAAGGCCATCTTCTAAACGGGTTCCTGCGAAAACGGTTCCATAACTTCCTTTGCCCAGCTTAGCACCAATTTCATAGTGACGTGAGTTGATCTCTGTGAAAAGACAAAGTAAAGAAGTTAGACAAGGCAAGTTTATTTATAAAACACATTTCATACACAGTGGCAATTTAAAGTACTTTACATAAACAGGAATAAAAGCAATAGTATCTGCTTGCAGCCTTTATGATGCAAGCTGAGATTCCATCACTCAGCGATGCAATGTCAGACACAATGCACTCAAATGGAGCTGGTGACATCACTGTGACGGGTAGGGTTAGGGGTGGGGTTACATGAGCCCATTAAAAAGCATTGGATGCAGCCCAGATTGCATTGCACCAGGTCTAAATTTCTAGTTTATAAGATCTGAGTAATCTAGTAGGTTTGTATTCAGTAAGCATTTCTGTAATGTATTGAGATCCTAGGCCATTTAGTGATTTATAGACAAGTAATAATACTTGAAAATCTATTATGAATGTAACTGGAAGCCAGTGTAAAGACTTGAGGACAGGTGTAAGTGTTAATAAAATGTGTGAATTAGTGACGGTGCTGTCTTCATGTAAAACTACCTGCTCCATCAGGGGTCACCACAGCAAAATTAACCCCATCATCTAAACCAGTGGTTCTCAAACTGTGGTACGTGTACCACTAGTGGTACACAGGCTTCCTTCTAGTGGTACGCGGAGGAATGAAATATGTCATGTACATGCTACACACATTTAAAAATTTATGAAAAATGATGTATATAATATGCCATATATGACATATAGCCTATATTTCTGAGGTGATCTACCACGTTTTGTAACTGGGCAGAGTTGTAGCTGCTTTACTGGGCCTACTGTGCTTCTGTAGTTCAATACTGCTCATTTTGGTGGTACTTGGAGAGACAATTTTTTCTGAGGTGGTACTTGATGAAAAAAAGTTTGAGAACCACTGATCTAAACCTTTTTATTCTGTCTTCCCTATATATATGATTATGATTAATATATATATTTCCATCTTAGTTATCTGCTATCCCTGAACAAAATGTGTATTAAAGCCAGTTTAAAGCATAAAAGTAATGAAAGCACTACTAAAATATGCATGTGTGTTGGGTGACTGGGCTGTCATGGTAGTAAACTTACCAATAATGTGTGTGTCTTGATCCTTCAGCTCTTCTGGCTGAGGTGGAACAGAGCCCTCTGTCTGACAGGTTGCACCTTGAGCGACGTCATCTTTACAGCCGGGCTTAGCAGAGACCACATTTGGAGGGTCGTCATGACTACAGCCGGGCTCAGCAGAGAAGCTCTCTGTGTCCTCACTGTGACCATCCACAGGCTCTACTAGGGGTTGATCATCACCGTAAACACTGTCGGGCTCTACCAGTGATTGTTCTTCACCAGGAACACTGTCGGGCTCTACCAGTGGTTTTTCATCACCGTGAACACTGTCGGGCTCTACCAGTGGTTGTTCTTCACCGGGAACACTGTCGGGCTCTACCAGTGGTTGTTCTTCACCGGGAACACTGTCGGGCTCTACCAGTGGTTGTTCTTCACCGGGAACACTGTCGGGCTCTACCAGTGGTTGTTCTTCACCAGGAACACTGTCGGGCTCTACCAGTGGTTGTTCTTCACCGGGAACACTGTCGGGCTCTACCAGTGGTTGTTCTTCACCGGGAACACTGTCGGGCTCTACCAGTGGTTGTTCTTCACCGGGAACACTGTCGGGCTCTACCGGTGGTTGTTTTTCACTCTGACCATCAACAGGTTCCTCCAGTGATGGTTCCTCAATCTGAACATTGATCTGTTCCTCAAGATGCAAAGATGAATCTTTACACCAGTCACCGATTTCTCGACCTAAAGGAAGGAATAATACGAAACAACAGATTTTAGTTTTACTTGAATAATATTTATCCAGTGTTTATTATTGATATGAACAAATGCTGTCAATTATGAAGTGACTTTTAGGTTTATTTCTTTCTACATTAGTTGTTGGTCATTAAATAAAAAATGTCAGAAAATTACTGTTCATAATCAAATTCACTTTGCAATTAATGATTTGTTTTGTACAAATACATGTCAATATGACTTTATAGCTGATATATTTTGTATTATATAACAATAAATAAAATAACTGTAAGCTTGGCAAAAACAACTAAAACCTATGAGAAAAGATTTCATGTTTTACTCTACAAATACCATTAAAACATTAAACATCAACATTTGTTGTCCATTAAAACCACTGCATTGTGTTTTAGGACATATTCCTAAAGGATTTAGTGGTAAAAAATTACAAGTTACAAGCAAATTACAAGTAGAGACAAGGGATCTAACAGGGGTGTCAAACTCGAATCACATTGAGGGTTGTAATATTCATTTATTAATTTTGTATGGCAGTAGACATTATTTCTGTTCATATTCATAACACAAATTAAGATGTTTAAGGTGAAATCTGAGAGCTCCTCCATAGATAGGAAGGGTCCAGACTCATTCAGAGACCAGAAAGTACCAAAAACCTCCAAAAAACAGAGGAAGCCATACACAGGCATTCAGGGGTTTAATCATTGCAAGTTATTTGTGAACGCATGTAATATACCAACACTGAAGAGAATAAACTGTTGGATAAATGTGTTTATACACAAGTATTCTCGTAGCTTGATAATATACAGAGTAAACCACTGTAGGCATTTGGTCTGCTTGAGAATGTTTTGTGGTATTTTTATGTACTTTGAGCAAGTCAGGAACCTTGCTGTATATACAGGAGGAGAGAGCGCTCAGAGTTCATCTAAAGCCTCTTCATTTGTATTCAGAAGATGAAAGAGGATCTCAAGGGTTTGTGGAGTGACGTGAGGGTGAATAATTAATTACAGAATTAGCATTTTTGGGTGAACTAACCCTTCTATCTTAAAGCAGAGAAAATTATTTAGTCTTTACGGATTACGAATGCATAATTGAAAAACTTTATGCAAAGCAAAAACACTTTACTTAGTTTTTGTCTTGTTTTTAGTCCAAATATCAAAACATTAAATCAAGAAGCATTTTCTTGACTAGTAAAAATATTGTCTTGTTTTCAGAAATATGTCAAATTGGTCAAAATGAACTGAATTTTCTGTAAAACAAGCTAAATAATCTGCTAGGGGGAGGGTGGGGTTATTTGATTTTTTAACTAGACACAAACAAAAACTATTATTTTATATTGCTGTTGGCATCATATTAGACATTTTTGTGTGTCGTATGTTTGACACCCCCTGTGTTTACACTAGTAACTTTCTTCAGGCCTGTTTTATTAGTGCTCATTAGGCCTATATTATTAACAAAAACCTTATTTTGTAATTTATATTTACAGTAAGGTAAAATAAGGGTGCCCTACCCAGTGTCCAGTATACAAAATGAGCTACATGTTCTTATAACACGCAACAATATTTACCATCACTGTTAGTCACGGAGGATACCGTGACCAATCCTTCCGGACGGTCGAATCTTTCTTCTTGACCTGAGACGGTGGAACTGTTGTTTCTTTCTCCCAGGAAGAGAGCAATTACTCCGAGTACGGTAAATAACATGGTGGATTAGCCTTAATAAACCGTAATATAAGAAAAGCTAATTATACAAAGCAAACTTTGTACAACTCACTAGTTACTCGTCAAATAAAGCAATGGCGAAAGTTGGATTGTACTGGGTGTCTGCCAAGAATTCGAACGCGTTCCAACGTTTCTACAGATACGTGATTGGTCAGATTTGCTCAGTTTTTCTTTGAGTTGAAAAATGCAATAGTAAGGAGTTTATGTCCTTCGCGGGTGTTTTTGGGGCAAAATAAAACGATTTTTCATGAAATCTTTGTTTGACTGGTAAATATTTCCTGCTTGATGAATCATTACTAGTCGTTTGGTGAACCACAGATTCGTTGTTTTAATTAGGGTCGATTTAAATACATTCACAGGTAAGAGTTGTTTTCGCATTTTATTTTGCACTTCAAATGTCAGTTTTTACCGCAAAGCGCTTGTATACTCATGAAACAAGATATTTTACAGAGTATATCATATCAGATTACTAGATATACACTACTTTAAGACTCCATTTACACTACAAAATACACAAGTAATGTAACGCTAAATTGAATGAAATGGCGTCATGTCTTACTGAGTAAATAATGTGATTAATTCAATAAACGAATCCGTTTATGACGGAATAATAATTAGAAAAAACTAGCAGTGTCCAAAACTGTTCACCCATTCACTTGTACTAATCGTTCCACTAGCTAATATACAGTAGGACACTTCTATACTACTTAAAGTTACATTTAAAGAGTTAACTATGCAGGTTAGGGTAATAGGCAAGTTATTGTATAACGATGGTTTGTTCTGTAGACAATCGAAAAAATATATATAATTTAAAGGGGCTAATAATTTTGACCTTAAAACTTTTTTTTTTCAATAAGACTTTTCTTCAGAAGAAAAAAATATTATCAGACATACTGTAAAAAATTTCCTTGCTCTGTTAAACATCATTTTGGAAATTTTTAAAAAAGGAGAAAAACAATGAAAGGGGGCTAATAATTCTGACTTCAACTATATGTATGTATATGTATATATATATATATATATATGTGTGTGTGTGTGTGTGTGTGTGTGGTAGATTAAGGAGTTTTTGGTTAGTTTTGTGTTAAATAAATAAATAAAATGTGATCAGACAGGCAGAATTTCTGTTATGTGTGCCCTTTTTGTTTCTTTTAAGGCGTGGAAAATAATTGTAGTTACAATGTAATGTTAGCCTTTAAAATTTTAAGAAACACTTGATTTGCTTTAATATTGATGCAGTTATGAATACAATTGTATTATTAGAGGTAATATTTATTGCATATTGCATCATTTATATCGATTTTGGACGATTACTTTTATGGAAAACAACAATCTGGTAACACTGTACCTCATACTTTGTTCTCTTTTGCTGTTACTACATACATGCACTTTGTGGCTCCATCCAAAAAGAGTGTTTAAATCATTACTCTTTGTGTTAAACAAAATTAGGTAAACAAGTGTGCAGTATCAAATGCTTGATATAATTTATGATATAATTCATGGTGTACTCATTGTCTAAATAAATCCATAAAAGGAATATAAATTAAATATGAATAAAAAGTAACATAAAATATGATGTACTGTAGGGCACACTGCTTATATTACTCAATTTTAATTTGTATAGCCCAATATCACTTTAGAGGGCTTTCCCAAAGTTGACTTGATTGGATATATTAGGGGCATGGTGAAGACACATCCATACAGCTGAGGGGTGAAGTCCAGGGGACCATATGTCAGGACAGGGCACAACATAGTTTATAAAGAACACATTCTTATAACACTAACATCAAAGTGGGGGAAAAGTGAGTGAGAAGGTCAGAGCAGAAATGCCCCTTACTCTGATATGCTGCATCTGTAAAGTTTTTCAGTCTACATTGTTAAGGTTCACGTCACTGCTGTCCATCATAACAAATGGTCATTTAAGGCTCTGTATCATCAATGGTATTTGATTATGCATTCTTAACAATTTGCTTATCTTTGTTGTATGTTTGTCTGTTTCAGGAGGTTGGGCTGTCATCATGTGTCCTTGTGGCATAGTCTACAGTATAAAATGTAATCTGCAAGCAGAAAGTCCACGGGATTTTGCAGATATGCTTCTGTCTTGGAAGCATCTGCCTAATGTTGTTATATATGACTTTGCTCGTGGACTGTCCACGCACACAAATTTGAGGCAACCCATAACTTTCACACCTTTCGAGGGAAGGTTACTCGAACCAACCACTGAAAACATTGCAAAAGCAAAATCAGAAAAATTACAGGTAACTCTGCCATGGCTCACTGCAAAAAAACAAAGTCCAGATCCAGATGGTCACCCAATAACTGGTTTTGCAGAACACTATGTTCTGTATGACCGCTTTCACGAAGACAACACAAAAGATCCTCGTGATTCACTGAGGAAGCTTCGTCTTGTGCCTCAACTAGCTGGCAAAGTAAACAGTCCGGCTGCAGAACAGCTTTTTTCAAAGCTAAAGAAAAATAACTACTTTATGAACATGGCATTGCCATCCACACATGTTTTCCTACTGCGAAACATCATCCACCATTACAATGTCAGAAAAAATGAGAAACGTCTTCATGACATAAACAAGGAATTCAACAAAAACATTCACATGAATGACCCCAGCCAGGTTGTTTTAGGTAATATTTTCTTTACTGTGTAACAAATACAGCACTATATCCTTAACTGTACTTATGTGTTTATTTGTATTTATAGAAAATCCGTTGTCCACAGAGAAGGTCATGGACTTGTCACTTGTTAATTTGACTGTTCGTTCCAGTTGCTAAGTGTCAAGTTTCTGTTCTTTAATTATTATGTGTTCTCTTCTAATTTTGATGCTTTAATGTACTTTTAGGACCACTGACAGCACTGCCAGAAAATATTGTGGCTGCACAAATGACTGCTGCATCACCAGGCATATCATCTGTCACATCTCCTCAGTCATCAGTACCAATTACAGAAAAATCTGCTTGTGAACCTACTAAGCCTTGGGAGAGGGACTGGCATCCATTACAAGAAAAACTGGTGAAACATTACCATTACACAAACACACACACACACACACAAATTTATTGTTAATATTTTTATTATTACAGCTTGATTATGTGCTGGAGCGAAATCGGCCTGGCAGTGAAATATTTGTGAAGGAGGGGCAAGTGTGCCTTATTCGAGAAGAATTTTGGAGTCTTGTATTGCTAAGGGACATGGACTCCCATGTAAGCAGTCTGTTTTTATTAGAACTTTTTTTATTAAAAACATTGACTTATCAGAGTATTTATTGCAGATTGGAAACGCCTGCATGAAGCTTATTTGTGAAATGGCTCGGCAAATTGTATGTACCATAAAACATAACATTCAACTGGTAATATCAATAATATTAATCCAAATTTTCAAAATGAAAAACCTTTTTATTCATGTAGGGCAAGGACATATACATTGAGGACTTTTATGTTGTCCCTGTGTGGAAAACAACTCCTAACAACATTGTTACTGGATTACCGGTGAGTGTACTGTATGTACTGTATTTACTGTGTTAGAAGTAAAAACTAAACTAAGGGACATAACTGTCCTGATCAATTCTAGGAAGATGCAGACTTGAAAGACCTGTTAGCCTTTCCAGCATGGACAAATGCAAATGGACCAGACCACTTCGTTGTCTGTGTAAGAAAATATTGAAGTATCTAGTGCATACAATGATTGGTATTGCAATGTGTGTGTTTCTAAAATAAAACACAGAAAAATCTTGAAAGAAGCAATAATGGACAGACGAGTCTTCACTGAGGCCAGCTTCCAGCCTCCACCGCTGACACTGCAGCTCTACACTTTTGACTTTTGGCCAGCGGAGAAATTAAAATGGTCGTGCCGAACTGAGTCTGGTTTCTCTCAAGGTTTTTTTTTCTTCACTCTCCTGTTGGTAAAGTTTTTTTCCCTCTCCGCTGTCGCCACTGGCTTGCATGGTTCAGGATCTGTAGAGCTACACATCGATAGATTTGCTCTTCAGTGCTTGGACTCTCAGACTTTAAACCACACTGAACTGAGCTAAACTGAACTGAACTTAAACACTAAATACTGAACTACCCTGATCCAGTTACTATGACCATTTATTTGAAGCAGCTTTGACACAATCTACATTGTAAAAGCGCTATACATATAAAGCTGAATTGAATTGAATTGAATAATGTTCAAATTAAATATTTTTACACCTTTACAATTGTAGATAATGATGCCGCTTCGAAGAGAGATGGTGTTTTTATACTCTATGTATGCAGAGCATGAATCAGGATTTGGAGATGAGGAATACAGGGCCATTTTTAGGTCTATCAACAAACTAAGACATGTTTCAGCCTTTATGTGATATATGACTACATTCCTATAGCCATTTCTATCTATTTTTCAAATCGTGTGTTTTAGTTTTGTCACTTTTGGCTACGTTCCTTTAGCCGTTTCCTGAACTTCTGGCTATGTTCATCTAGCCTTTTTTATGCATGGTGTTTTAAAGTTGAGGTGAGCTGTTATTGTCAATATTACTACTAATATGTTTTGTCTACAGGAAAATTGCTTACCAAGTTGATCATGGGACATGGACTGAAAAGACTGGATATGATTTTCCAGTGAGGAATCAACTTAAAGAATTGTCATTATTTGGCTTTTACAACAGTTATTCTTTTGTACAATATACTAAAATAAAATTGTTTGCTTTGTCGATTTTAGGCTTTGCCACGTCAGACAAGAGGGAATGATTGTGGTGTTTTTGTACTCATGGTAAGATTTAAATTGAGTTAATTTATAAAAAGGTTTTGTAAACATTGTAAATGACTGTGGCTTCTCTCTTTTCAGTACACCCTCTCAATGGTGTGTGGCATTGGGTTTCAATTTGAGGAGGTATTTCTTTTTTTTATTTATGAAACCTTTATTTTGATGGAGCTTTTATTTATCATAGCTAAAATGTAACTATTTTAGTGCATGTTGTCTTGCTTTATTCTAAGCAACATTTCTTTTAAGAAAGGGGCGAGCACACCCAACATCATGTATTAACAAAAACATGTTGGTTAACTGTTAGACTAAGCAGTCTTTCTTTCAGATGGATATGCCTGTCATTCGTCAGTGGTGGTGTCTACTCATGGAACGATTTCAGATTGATGGGTATGTCAGTTAAATTTTCTTTTAAATCTGTCAAGTTTAAATTTGATATTGTGTCAATACAACAACTCTGTAACACGAATAACAAAACATCCTTAATATCTATCTTACCGGTGACCAGTTATCATGGATTTTGTCTTGCTTGAAAGCTATGGGTGCAGATTTGCTTTCTGGACAGAGGAGGCAAGAAGTGTATTAGATGAAATGATTCTGCCCCTTTTTAGGGTGGGAAGTAAAACCACATCCAATCTTCCGGCACATGTCCAAGCAGTTCAAGAAAGGAAAAGGAATGACAAAACATTAGTGGACTTAATTCTCACATCAAAATCAGCAGAGCAGCATTTGGTGGTATGGATGGTTTCACTTTAAATTACTCCTCCAGACTCTGAGTATAGTTGACTTAAATAGTCCATTGACAATTTAACTAATATTTGCCAAATTTAATTAATGATTTGTGCATTTACATATGAAATATAATTTCCTTCTATGGCCCAAAGGATACACTTGGTGGGAAAAGGTCAAACTGGTTTCCCCTAAAACCCCGTGCTCAGGTGCCTGTCTACATTGAGAATGAGCAGTCCCTGTTAGTCCTTTGTAACTACATGAGCGGAGTTCATCATAGAACCCAAACGCAGCTGACCTACAATAATGAGGTGGAGTTCATTTGTGGATGTCTCCTTTCAGAGGTAATCACAAAACATGCATGTACATGAGCATGCTTATGTTCAGCAGTGTGTATGTTTTATTTTTTTAGTAAATTTATTATTTGTATATTTGTACAGGCCATCATTCATGGCCTTTGCGAGTACAAGGCTTGTCTTGGCAGGAGGCTGAAGATGTTTTCCTCCAGGGTCCTGTTTATCACTCATGGTATGTTTTACATTTTTTTTTACGAAAACTTTAAAGTTTTTATGTTAAATACAATTTCCGACAACAGCATTTATTGTTTCTTTTAGTGAAGTTGATGAATTTGATAGAAGAATTGCCCGAGAAATGAAAAATCTTCCCAACAAGAATGTAAAGCATTTATTTTATTTGATGTTATTTTCTACGTAATAAATGGTTATTAATGCAATTTTTCTCTGCATTGTTTACAGCTTGGGGACTTGTAGGATGTCATGAAAAGTACACAAAAAATAAAGTTTGTTGAGAGAGTCCTATAAATTATTTTATTTAAAGAAAGAGATTATATTTATTCCCTAAACTCAATACTAAACAGTGTGATAAATCCTTAATGATTAAAAAAAACAAAAAATGATTAAAAAATAATGTACTCAATCATAGCGTAATATTTATAGTAGAAAAATAGTGTAAGTTACAATTTATAAGCAGTTAAATTCAGGTTAGGCGATCTTTCAAACAGCAGGTGGCACTGTCTGAAAAAACGATAGGTCTGGAGGTGCAGGTCTGAACCTGGTCTGAACGTGCAGTTGGGTCTCCGGGCCTGCAGCTTCATAATATTGGTTTATAGTCTAATGTTAGCTTTTCAGTTCTTGCGTTTGCATTGAAGATCCAAAAGTGCTCAAAGTTGTATTTTCATATGAGGATTATCCGGCTGGACAAAACGTGTAAGTGTAATGAACAGTGTTTGAACACAAAGCTTATAATTTGCAATCTTCTAAAAGCCTATGGAAAAATCCTACAGGGATATTATCAAGGGAACCAGTTGTATGCTAGCAGCCGATTTACCTACAAGGTGATTTCATAGTTCCTCCACTTTATTGTTTTGCAAGGAGGAATGGGCAAAGATTTCAGTCTAGCAAAGCTAGTAGAAACCTATAGACGTACTCCAAAAGACTTGCAGCTGTAATTGCACCCAAAGGATACTCCACAAAGAATTGACTCAGGGGAGCTGAATACTTTTGCACGCTGCACTATTCAGTTTTTATGTAAAAAAAAAAAAAACTTTGAACTCATGTATAATTTTCTTTCTACATTACAATTGTATGCCACTTTGTTTCAGTATTTCACATAACATTCCAATAAATATATTTATGTTTGTGTGAGAAATTGTGGACAAGTTCAAACGGGCATGAATACTTTTGCAAGCCATTGTTTCAGTAGCTACTTTTCCATCCACCTATTTTTATACACATTTTAGATATGCCCATAAAAAAATATTTAATAGAAACGGCAACATATGCATACGTTTTTTTAAAAATTGCATAAAAATGTATGGCCATAACTGAGTAGAATAAACTTTTTATTCGATAAGAAAAGATCAACTACGATGGAAACACTTTTACCAAACAAATTCCAGTATGTGCATTACAAACTCATGTGATTTTGTTATAAGAGGTCAAATGATTAAACAGATGTGTGTGAATGGATAAACCAGCAGGCTGAGCATATTGTAAAACATCTGCAATGTTGATTTGGTCATTCTAAAACCATTTCAGTATTAGTGTTATTATATTATTTAGGCCCACACGGAATCTGCGCGCGCAGAATTTTGCAGATTTTTAGCCCATCATTGATTCTGTTTATTTACATGTGTAAATGTGTGTAAATGTATATTTATTCAGATTTTTAATTAATTTTAGTATAATTAATAGCTAATATGAAAATGTTCATATGATTTATTCACAATACAGTTTGTAAAGTAATATTTTCTGTCTTTTAGTAGTATGAGAGACTTGCTTTGTTTACCAAATAAAATGTATCTATTTGGATCTGCATTGTAGACTTTAAAAAAAGTTAAAAAGCTAATATTTTTATTTAATATATTAGGTTTTTAGTTATGATACTCCCAAAATCATTCCGCATAAATCCGCAGATTTTTAACAAAATTCTCTTAATTTTAAAAGTTTACACACATTTTCTTGATATATTTTTAGCTTTGCTTTTAAAGTGTAGTCCCTTTGTCCTCCAAATGTAACACTGGTCATTGTGGCCAAACAATCTTAGTTCCATCAGACCTCAGGACATGTCTCCAAAATTATTATTTTTTCCAGTGTAATTTAACAATAAATTTTGTAACAAAATTCTCTGCAAAAATAGCAAAAAATGTCAGCAGATTCCGTCTGGCCTTATTAATGACCTCCAGAGCTGTCAAGGGTGTCTGTGCTCCGCGTCTCACGCCTTCAAACACCATCACATGTTCATTGCATGTCAGCATCATCTTCTTAGGGTCAAGTAATTTATTAAATAAAGAAAAGATTCACGCAGCTTCTACCACAGCTAATCTCGTTTTTACTGTTGATATTTGATCAGGAAGTGATGATTTTGTTCTCTTTGACCCATCGAATGGAAACGCTGCTTATTCGCACGCCTTTTATGCTGTATTGCTGTTTTGCGCATGAATTTAATACACATCTTTGGATGGAAACATAGCTAGTGATTCAGCATGTGCATTTAATAATGTTAAAGAAGTTTAGTATGTATTAATTAGATTATAGACCTTGCCATTGCAGTGCAGTGAGTGCACTGTTCTGTGCTTCTGAATGGCTGTATTTAAATTTTGTTTAGGGCAAACAGCCAAATTACTTATCACTGCAAATCTTGTCATGTAGCGTGTTGTTAGTACACGAGGTTACAATGTAATCTGCTCACCTAATGTTCATAATATTTATATTATTTGATAAATAATAACCACGTCATGTGGAACTCTGAATCTGTGTCTCACTTCAGAGTCTGCTAATGTCCACCAGAGGTCGCATTTCAGTCACGAATGCATGCTTTGAGGGCCAAACAAAGACAGACATTCCAGAACGTAACACGCATTTTCAAAGCAAATATCTGACTTCAGCATTGTTTTTCAGATGAACAAGAATGTTCACT